GGTGATGGAAATGATTCACTTGGACTTGGTGGCCTCCAGAGCTCCTTCCCAAACTCAGCCATTCTGTGTTCTGTGATTTCAGCAGGGGTTAATTTCTGTCAATTTTTGCGATCCTTTAATATTTTGTGATGTCTATTGCAAAATACTATTTAGTGATCTTGAACATTAGATTTTTTCCTAAGAGATGTGAATTATTCAGGTAAGAATTTAGGCATACCACTCTATCAGCCTTTGCTTTCATGAAAAAAATCTCTAAAATAAGAGCATATTCTAAATCTCCATATTATTGCATTGAAAAAAGTTTATGTTTTCTAAATGTACTGAAAACATGATCCAACAAATTCATCAGGGATAAATTTTTTCCCTGCTTCTGATTTTTTTTTCATTGCAAGTCAAGCCTTTTGAGTGCTCTAAAAATTGTAATCTGACATCATAATTTCAAAGTTTTATAAAGCCATTCCTTGTAAAAACCTTCCATATGTTCCCTCATAAAAGGTTATGAAGTAATGTGCCATTCCTGGTGGTCTAGCAAGGATAAATCAATAAAATCATGTGAGAGAAAAGTCAGCTGGTTTTCAGTAGTTTCCATAATGGATATATTTCAAATAATTTTGAAAAAAAATGCTTCTAAGTTCCCCAAGGAAACACTAGTAACAACAAAAATGAGGTTTTATTTTAGAATGGGAAATGCTCCTAACAGAAGCCAGTCTTCTCTCAGACATTAGGTGATAAAATTGAGTAATTCCCTTATTCAGAAGCAGGAAAACTTTCTGCAATCTGTCCTCCAGAATTCTGTTACTAAATGTTCAGCCCACCCTGCCTGGAAATGCAGTTTGGAGTGCAAACAGCCAGTTGCTTCCAGCCAAACTGGATGCCAAAGCTCCCTACAGCCCTCCCTTCCCCAAAGCCTTCATCTGCAGAGTTCCTGGGACTTTCTCTTAGCTGGGTTTCAACAATCCCTGTATGGAAAGCACCAAGAGAACTGACTGTATAGAAACAAATAGCAATGGGATTTTTTACATTAAATATACCACCCATACATTTTTTTCTTTTTTTTTTTTTCCAAACCAAATCTGTGGGAAGGGAACAACAGACTGAAGTGTTCTTTTGCTGGTGCCAATAGAGAGATGGTGCTTGTAAAAACAAATAGAAGAGGGCAATTGTGACCTCTCTCGAACTTCTCAATCCAGTTTGTTAAATTAAGCAGCCAAAGAGCTGCTTTTCAACTTGTGGCTGTTAGATGCTCAGAAGTACACAGCCCATGAAATGGTCGATTCCACCTGCAGAAAATATTGAATAAATACTCAATAATAATAAATAATAGTAATAAATAAGGAAAAGCAGCAGTGACAAAGAACAGGGCACAGTTTTGTCACTGGCCATGGGATGTGGGCTGGGAGCAGTGGCTGTTCCTCCTGGCTGGCCGTGCTGTGAGCACAGAGTGCCAATAAATGGGTGTGAATTCACGTCAGTGCTCTGGAGCTGAACTGAGCATATGGATTTCCTGTGCCCAGCCACCTTCTCCTGCCCTTCTGCTCAGGGGGATAATATCCTACTTAAACCCACGCCACTTTAGGATGCTGTACCAGTGACTTCCCTATCAAATTCCACAATTTGTGGGATGATATTCCCCCAGGAACAACAGCTGAAGGTGGAAGGCAGGCTAATTGATTCAGCACTCCCCCATGGCTTCTGAGCTCAGGCACTTAGCTGTAATTATTGTGAAACAGAAGAATTTACACTGAGTTCTAAACTGGTATCACAGGGCTCAGAAAGTGGTGGATACTTCATGAACTATCAGCTATTCCATGTATTTCTACAGTTTCAACACACTTTTCCAACTAATATTGTAACTTATGTGGTTTCCCATGTTAAGGAGACAAAATGTTCATAGTGTGTATCTGTGGAGCAGGGAGAGGTGGGAGCTTTCTCCTCAATAAATCCATGACTGTAAACTGCTAAATAACAACAGCGTTTGAGGGCACTGGGGATCATGGCTTAATATTCTTGTTTCCTTTTCCCAGTTTAGAATCTTGTACTGAAAGATCTTCCCATCAGTGCAAGTGCACCCACTGCAAAAATGAGTTTTTGCAGAAAACAACAGAAGTGGTGGGAAACACGAGTCTCTGTGTGATGTGGACTGACAGAATGGCATAATTTCACATAATTTCTCCAGAAATCTGGTTAACTAGGTGACTCCAGGGGTCCTTTCCAGCCTTACACATTCTGTGATTCTGTGTCATTCATTCAAATATTTCATGAATGTTTATGCAAAAAAGTAAATGTTTGAGTACCTTCTAAACTACTGTAAATGCCCAAAGCTCTTATCAAAGCTTTGTCCATCTGGTGGTGATTGATGTGGCTTAACAAGAGTTAATTTGCTTTATCTGCAGTGATTATCACCTTTCCAACATAAAATCACATAATCAAGTCTCAAACCCTTTTCGCACTGTGCACATGATGAAAAAAGCACACCTGGGGCTGACAAAAAGTTCATCCTGGGGCTGTATTTTAATTTAGAGCTGGGCATGTTTTAATGAACTTTTAGTCTCTCATTTTTCTGCTTTTTTTTTTGTTGATGGATACTGGTCAGGGCTGAATGTCACCAACCTTGTCCTTTTCAGGAGGTGTTTGTGGACTTCTGGAAGAGACTAAATGAGGTGTTGTTCTAGTGACTGAGTTGTGCTTAGTCAGAGACATCTCTGAGGTGACAGGAGATGGGATTCAGTTGCCTAAAGTGACACTCAGTGCCTCCCCTTAAATATCCAAATGCTGCTTTGCCTCTCACAGCCACTTTGAGAGTGGAAATCTCCTGCTGATCGTGTCATGTCTGCCACTCAGCTGGGAATGTCTCAGATTTTTTAGAGCATCTCAAATGACACAAAGCATTTACACTGAAGCAATTGAACCCTGACTTTTGAGTGTGAGAGAAAAGTGCTATTTATATGTACTCTTTTAGTTATTTGCTGCTTATAAAACCTCAATAATTTCAGCCCTCTAGTTCTCCTAGTATTTATAGACTTATTTGCTCTAAAATTCACTGCTCCTTGTTGGTTTTTTTAATTATTTCTGAATATGTACAATAAGTGAAATAAATTTGGGGTTATCTTCATGACTTTCTGTAACAAACTAACTTACTGTAAGGCTTAGGAAACTGGAGTTATTTGCCATTTAACAGCATTTAAATAGAGGAAAATGTCACTGGTGAAGCTGAAGCTGTTTGGCTTTTCTGAAGGTCTGTACATATGGTGTGTGACTCAGTGGCTATACCTTATGCTTGGTATAGTTCATATTTTGAAACAGGAGCAATTTTCTATTTGGGAAGTCTTCATATGTTCATTATGTAGCCTTTATGTTTTAAGATGCTGTTTAGTACCAAACATCTTGGGGTTAATGGAACAATTTCCATTTTAAAATTGAATTTTTGTGTATTGCATTCTGAACTGTCTGTCCAGGATAACTTCTGCAAATATTTTAAAGTGAAAGCCATGGAATAAGGAAACGCTTGTATAGGAATGCCAAAGACTTCTCTTGAGTGTCCAGAGGGAAAACTTAACTTTAGCCATCAGATGTAAAAGTACTGCATCTAGATCAATTAAATTAATTATTTTAAATTAATTATTTTTCCACAGACTGCAGCATGACTAACTAACAAATTTAAAGGACAGATGGATTGAGGGAAAACATCAGAATTCTTGCTTGAAAACAAAAGTAAAAAACTCAAAGCTCTCCTAGGCTGCTTTAAATTCAGCAAGTGCATGTGCATTTTGAGGGTAAATTTTCCTCAATGTATTTTTATTAATGGAAAAAAAAAATCTCAGCTGTTGAAGGCCTTTTATTTTTCTCATTGTCTATAAAGATCAAGATGCTTTCTATCTCTTAAAAAAAACAAACATGAAGTACCTGCAAGGTGAGGAAAACAAACTTGCCATTGCCTAACTTTTTGGATGGATGCTCACTTGATGCACTTGCAAAATTACCCAGATTATTCTGATTGTCAGTTTAGATTTATTGCCAGGTGGGAGAACCTTGACCCTGTGCTTTTCAGTGAGATGTGCAGAGCTGTCATTTCAGACCATCTTTGATGCTGGCACTCACATGAACTGAGCACTAACATGAAGTTGAAATGATGTCTGCAGATCTCTGTTCAAATGCTGAAAGCTGAAACAGTGGATCAAATGCTAAGGCATCTTCATTTCTCACCACTAGCTTTGTCACAAATATTTGTTTTAGAAGAGGTGGATGAGATAATCATGTTTTCAGGATTAAAACCATACATGTAGGCAATGAGAAGAAAATACAGTTTATTATAGTGAAAACATAAAATGTGTTGAGCTTCTGGTGACAGCAAAGCAGAAAGGGGCCATGTCCACATTGCCTAAAATCAAAAGTTGCAATTATATGAAAAATATATTAAAAAGCTAAAAATCTTTAGGCATTATCCATGCACCTGGTTTTTGCCTGTATCAATACATTGACAGGTGTTGGGAGGTGTGACAGAAACTCTGATCCTGGAGCTGCCTTGACACAGAATTCAGTGTTTTAGCTGCAAATCCTGGTTCCCCTTTGCCCCTTGTGACTTTTGTCAGGTGGCTTTAAAAAACTGGTGTAAAACAGCTTTGCTGGTATAGCCTCACATCTACTGGTCTGTCTTTGATGTGATTTGAACACAAAATTGTAACATGCCTCTATGGTGGAGTCATTTGGAATGCATTATGAATATCCCACAGGTGCAATTTGCTGTTGAAACACCAAATTTTTCTAGCTGGAATTCTCCATTTGCAAACTATGCAGAAAACCTTTTTCTGGTTAAAGCTGTGTATTGTATGACTTGGTTAAAAAGCAAACAAAAGCTTTTAACTGCTTTTCATGACATCTGTTCCCATGAAACCACTGTTAACTCTGCGGAGATTTGGTTGTTCTTTCTTTAAACAGTCAGCTTCTTGTGTCAGCCAGAGAACAAGCCATTTGATTAATGATCATTTCTATTTCTTTGAAAGGATCCTTCCCGACCATTGGGGTGAAGTCTCTTTCCAGATTCCTGAGGGTGGGATTTTTAAATAGCATCCTGGCCTCTCATCCAGTGGCAGGGGGTGGATCTTTACCCCCCAGCATTTCCTCTGGTAGGTATTCCAGCCTCTTCCCACACATCAGTTTTTGTTTTTTCCTTCACTCTCTGCCCCATCTCTCCACACATCTCAGGGAAATCAAATTTGGTATTTATCAGACAGGAAGGTCAGATGTCCTTTCCAATAAAAAAGCCAAACCAAAAGGAAACGGAAAAGACAATAAATTCTTGGGAACAAGCCCTTTTCCTGAATTAATGTATTGGAGAAATTGTGAGGGAAACTGTCCTGCAGTTAAGTGGCCAACCTAAATATTGGAAGAGAAGGCCTGGTATCCTCTAATCATCCATTTCCTGAAGCATGTCCATGTGCACTAAAGAAGGAGAACTTTAAAATCTTGGAATGTATGTGACTCTGACTCTTCCCTAAAAATTTATATTCCATCGCTAAAACATGGGAAAAAAACAGATTTGGAAAGGGAAAACTTAATAATATATTAATTTGGTGTTTGAAACCTTTGTGGGCTTTGGTAGCTCAAGTTGTATCTCATGAAAACCACCTTTTTTTTTTCTTTTTTTTTTTTTAGTAATTTTTACCATGATTTGAACTCTGTAATTCTCTTTAAATAAGTGAGGACAGGTTAGAGGGCTCCTTTCCAAGACAGGCCACTTGTGTTATCCATTCTCTTCTGGAGCCATTAAACACCATTTTGCATCAAAAGTAATAAGTGAAGAGTAAATACATACAGCTATAGTTAAAACCGAATCAAAGTTCCTTGCCAAACTGCATATTTTTGTTTAAAAATGGACCTGTGCATGGGCTAATATCAGGCTGGTATCTTTTCTGGACATCCTGTGTTATCTGTAGTGTTACTTAAAAGTTTTTCTTGAAAGAAAAAAAAATCTGGTAAAAAAAGGGAGAAAATTGGAAAATTACATAATGTTACTGACTTGCTATACAAAAGAAACTGTTGTAATTCTCTGTGTCCCGTTTTATCTACTGCAGTAATTCTAATTACAAGATGATTCTTACTTTTCTTTTTCTTTCAAGTGCTATCATTTCTTTCTTTGCTTTCTTTGAATAGAAGCATCTCAGCAGCTTTGATGTCTTTTTTTGTGACTGTTTGGGTTTCTTTTGTCGACAGTTTGTGAAATACTTTCCATATTTTTTTCTCCATGGGGTACCTCAGAGTGTTTAACAGCCCTTAGGAATTGTGGCAGTCAGCATCACAAGGAGGTGATACCTGTAACTAAACAATATTGAGCAGGAAATACTGCAGGCCCCATAAAATTCTCTGTTTTGAACACAGTGTTATGTAGAGCATCCCACTGATTCTGTGAAATTGCAAATGGCCTCAAATTCATGAAGTGACTTCTCAACTCCCTCCCTGCCTACAAGTTAATTTTACAAGATCCTCAGGACTGTTGGTTTTTGGAGTACTTGTAAAGCTTTTGGTCTTATGGACTTAAAACTCTTAAATGCAGTTTGTTGAATGAAGCTCATTCATAATTCCTTCCTTTTAAATGTCTTTTAGTAAGAATTCTGAGTCAATCTGGTGAAACATTGAAAGTGGGAAAATATGGAAATGCAATGGCATGATGTGTAACAGATATTGTTTCAAGTTAATGGAGATAAATGTTGTTGTTTGATCGTGTCAAAAGCAACGAAAAAAAAAAAGTAAGCAAAGCAGCAACCCCAGAGAAAGGGAAGATTTTCAGGTAGTTGGGAGGCAATGAAGAACTGGGATAAATCCAATGGATAAGATGTGTTCCTTTGAGAAAGAATGCATGTGGGGGATCAGGGGCATGAAGCTCTGCAGTGCAAGTCAAAAATTGCTGCTAAAAGTTGCATCTCAACAATCTTACTTGTACTGCTGCTATTTAACTCTTCCTTTTTTACTTTATCATATTTACATTTATATTAATCATGGTACAAATTCTGAATTGCCTCTTTTTTCATCAGAGATGACCAGGGGATGTCCTTTCCATTTCTAAATTCCTAAACGCAGCTTTGCTTTACACGTGAGAAAAAAAAAATCCAAAACATTTTTGAGAAAAAAAAAACAAACTAAAAGAAACCATGAAAACAAATCTTGACAAGGTAGTGCTGATGTGGGATGTAAGAGAACTGATTCTCTTGCTGTGCATGATTCAGTGGAGATGTTTGGGCTTGTGCTGGGCAGTAGCTCTCATAAGCCTAACAGAGGTATTTAACATTTAATAACTGCAGAATTATAACCTAATTGTTTCACATATTGGTTATGGGTAAGATTTCAGTTAATTTAATTACATGGGAAACTTAAAATGCCAGCATTATTCTGCTATTAGGGTCATTAGGAACAAAGATAATGAGATGCTTTTTATTTACCAAAATCTTTAACTCAAGCTAAGTGGCAGATTCCCTTCCAAATACTCAGAAAATTTATTTCTAACTAAAGACAAAATTCTTTTAGCTCTTTTTTTCTACAGAATCTACCACAGATGTTTTAATGAAGCACAGAACTAAACCAGAAAGGCTGCTATAAATAAGTGTCTGGAAAGCAGCTTGGCAGGGCCATGCAGCTGTTGGTTTCCTTTTTTCCCTTTCTGCTTTAATCTCAGTAGTTGAGAGGAGTGTATTTCTTTTACCATTGCATTGACAGCTGATGTTCAGTTTTGTGTAATTCAGCTTTTAGACTGTGCAGAGATTCTCTTATGCAAAAGGTGTCCTCATTTAGCCAATTTAAAGATTAATTTATGCTGCTGGGACAGGGCATTATGTCTTTCTGCGTAAATAGATTGTCTCAAATGTAGGTGTTTTTCAAGCCTAGACATAACTTCTAATGCAATAGTGCTTATCTTTGATAGTTACATCAAAAGTCTGTCACTGCTTTCACCAGAAGCAAAACTTAAAGCAGGCCTGAAAAACTTGTCTTAGAATCTTGCAAAAACAAGTCCATTTGCAGACAACAGCTTCCTTTTTATTTAGCTATCATTTATGTCACAAATTACTTCATTCCTTGTTATTCCACCTGTTAGCAGCACAAATTTACATGACTTAGCTGGTGTAGGTCTGCAGTGACAGATGGATTCACATGAGCAGTAAGTACTTTTTGTCAAGTGATAGCCTTGCATATATTAAATACAATTCTTAAACCACTTAGCATTTACACTCCTCATCACACTGATGCTGGCACAAGCTGGGGAAGCTTCCTTCATGACACACACACACACCTTGTGAAAAGCCAGACTATAAACTGCCAGAGCTGCATCTCTCTCTTCACATTCTCTCCCAAGCTGCACACCCTGTTTGTTCTTGGCTCCACTTTGGGGAAGCTCTCAGCTCGCTCCTCCTGCAGCTCCTGATTGAAATGTTGTGTGAGGGGTTTGTTGTGTAAATGCCCACAGAAGTTACAGGCAGGAAGCTTCACTGTGCTGTGCTGTCTTTGAAGAGCCAGAGATTGCTCAGCTTGCTGAGCTGGGAAGGAAAAAAGGGAAAACAAATACCTCTCCTACTGTTCCTTTCAAGCTCAACTCCTCCACTGAGTTTTTCTGTCAACAAGAGCTGGAGATGGGTGCCAGGCTATGAGTGACCATGGAAAGGTTCTGTTAGCCAAACCTCTCCTTCAGACTGTTCGGCTTTCAAACTGCATTAGCAGGAGAGAACCATCAAAATTATTCTTGCCATGAGCTCCTCTCTGTGGATATCATCTCCTCTTCATGCTGTGGGCAGCAGCTGGGTCATTGCCCCTGTTCCCCTCTCTGGAGCTTCTGTGGAAGTATCCTGATGTGGCTTTTCCCATGAAGTGTGGCCATCAGTTATTTCCTGCCACTTCATTTGTCAGTGTTACCTGTCCAGCTCCTTGACCTTGTAGGAAAAATAGAAGCAAAGAAATTTGGCTTGATGAAACAACCCACCTTTGGGAACCTCAAAAAATATATTGCGTGCAAGTAATTGAGAATGCGCTTCCTTTCCGGAAACTGGAAGTGATACAGGATGGTTTGCTCACTGCTGTCCTGGACTCTTCTTCACCAAAAAGCACATTCTACAGAGGATATCCCTCTTTGGTGTTGTGCTGCCCAGTTATTTATGGCTCTTTGTCTAACACACATTTCAATGTTCACATTTATTCCACAGAGCTCCTCAAAAAATTCATGCATAATTTTAGAGTACTAAACTAGATGATTAACAGTTTTCTTTTGCCCAAAATTAATATTTTATTACAGTTTCCAAGCGCACCTGAGTGAGCCCATTATTCTTGATATTATATGAACTGACATTTGAAAGCAAATTGCATTGACCCTTATTGAACAAAATTACTCAACAAGATCCATCAAGGGGCATTGTACATACTGAATTCAGTATGTACTATTCAGTATGTACTATGATTATAGTACTCCAATAATGAGAAAAGTAACTTTTTTTTCCCCCCAGTTAATGCATTTTTCTTTATTCTGAATTCCAGCACCTACACTTCTATATTTGTTGTTAAATGAAAGCTAATCCTTTCCCAGTGAGTAACAAATTGATTTTTCTATTGCATATGCATTTCCTGGGGTACCTGAGCCAAATGGCTCTTCCAGTTTATTCTTCCCAGCCTCAGTGCTGTTCCACTGGAATGTTTAAATTATAAACCCTATAACTAATACATGATGGCATGTATTTTCTGAGAACAGATGTTCAAGTGTAGATGGACTTTCCCATTAGGCAGGCAGGGAGTACTTCAGAACCAAAATAAGGATGAGCAGCAAGCAGCATTAATACTGAAAGAAACATATTTTGTGCTAGTCAGCTAGGGTTAGGATTGAACTGTAAAACTGAGATTAAGCTCTGAGTGTAGGATGTGATAAAAGGAGATTTTCATTCTTCAACCCTTGCTAAATATCTTATTTCATGCTCAGGTGGTCATGGTAAACAATTCCAAACATTTAAATCCTAGAAGTTGAGAAAAGAAGTATTTGCATATGTGGTCATTTTTACATAATATACACTACTATTGCATATTTTAACAATCTGACTACAGAAAATGTGGAAATTTATTGTTGCAAGCATGTTGAAGCAAGTTGCTGTTCCTTACT